ACTAATAACAGCTCTGTACATATACTATCGAGCAAATGCTTGAGGGGAAAAGGGATAACATGTGGAAGATGCTCCAGATCATCAAGAACCGTTAAAAAAGAACGTTCATTTAGAAACAGGTCTCTAGTAGTGCTCGTGAGTAACTCAAGTAATTTACTAAAAAAACGCTCAGACCAGTAAATTTTTGATTTTAGGGAGAACATTTTTATTGCTAATATCACCCCCTGAACGGAAACCCTAAAATCTTAAAGAAAAGAGGGGTAGAATATCTTATTTCGAAGGTATTTTTACGTAGATTATAACCCCAAGTTATAAATCGCTATAAAAGTACAACCCCGGTTTAACATAATTTTTACATTGTTATTAAAAACAAATTTTTTGTAACAATTCTAATTTTATTCCTGTGGCCATTAATTATTGATATCAGATGACATTTTCTGGTCACCATAACCATAAAGTAGTAAGGTTTAGTTTATTTCGTTAGAGAGTCGGCATAAAAGTGGCATATCAGTGATAATGGTTTACTCAATTGCTAAAAGGGTGCAAATAATTTCACTTTTTTTGCGAACAATGAATGTGCTAATAGAACTGCCCAACTGTTTAACAATCAACATTAAAATTGACTAGTCCATGGAAAGAAAGTATATTTTTGGAGCTAGGCCAAAAATTTTGGGAAAGGAGATCAGTAGCTAACAAAAAACGTGAAATGAAAAATGTTGTAGTAAATGAAGCTACAGAGGTGGCGATTTTAGGGAATGTTGTTCAAGAACCCACATTGAGTACAAGACAGTTGGCGATAACATCTGGTATTAAGAGAAGTAGCACTCAGATCTTGTAAAAACAAGTTTCATCCTTACAAAATACATCTGGTACAAAAACTTAACGAAGATGATTTTGATTACAATTTTGTGAAGTTATGACTGAACGGGCAATAAATGATCAGCAATTTTTTTTCAACGTATGTTTTTCTGACGAATGCACTTTTTCCTAAATAGTAGGTACGGTAAATCGTCACAACTGTCGTTATTAGTCCGATTAAAATTTCATGAAGTGCATACGCAACATCCAGAAAAACTGAATGTTTGGTCTGTCATTTTTGGTAACCGTATAACAGGCCCCTTTTTTACCTGGATCTTTAACCGCAGAAATATATCTGGAATTATTAGGAAACGCCATTTATCCAGCATTACTAGACTTGATTGAGAATAACGATCAGTACATAGCAAACAACTTAATATTCCAGCAAGACGGTTCGCCACCTCATTTTGCACTAACTGTTCGTCAGTATTTGGCTCAAACGATTCCATGTCAATGCCATGGCTAGGAAGACAGTAGCTATTTAAAACTCAGGGGTTACAATCTAGGTAAACATACCTTCAAAATAAGATATAATTCGACTCCTCTTTCCATTTAAGATTTTAGAGTTTCACCCCACTAGAGGGTTTCCGTCGTTTTTTTCGTAAATGACCTGAGGTGCCAAACATTGGTTTTGTTTCGTTTTCAAGTATCTACCCTGTGTATATATATACAATACTCTATTATATGTGTATTAAAAAATCATCAAAAATCTCCTTCTTAGCTAATAAATGTTTTATATTGTGTTTCTATTTATTTCATTGGAACTCCCGTCTGCAGCTTCAATCCCCAAAACTCCAGTAATTCGACATTCACCAATACCTTTTTTACAAGAACATTTTCATGAAATCAACGCTTTAAAATGACTTTTAAAAAAACCGGTGGTGACTAAGTGGGGTGTGGAGAGGGAGGGAGCCCCCAGTTCTCGCATAGAGGCCGGACACCCAGAGCAATTTTTGAGTTCCGGCGCCTATGTGTATAAACAGTATATTCAGGAAAGCTATTTAGGTTACAAAGTAGATTTGAACAATTATGGCATTATTTGTGATACAAACATGCATCTACAATGTTTTTCTACGCAAAAACATCCTAACTACAATATAAAGATATAGAGCACTTGTTTCTTACATTCAGTTTGGTCCCAATATTTACATAGTGGAACAATATGAAAACAAAATCATTATTATCTCAAAACTTTCCTCATGTCAGATAGGACATTTTAGCTAAGCAGGGCAGTATTGTGTTTTTGTTTTTTTTTACACCCAAAACACAAATTTTGAAAAATCTCACGTGAGATTAGGGAGGGGGGGAGGGAATTGAAGTAAATCTTACGAAATCTCACCAGGGGGAAGGGGGGTCAGAAAATTCTCAAAAATACCTCACGTAATTAATGTCAACGAGTCAAACTTTTCGCTATTTTCATAGACCATTTTGCACTTTTAAGATGATATATCATAAACAACGTTATTAAATAAATAGTGTTGTAAAAATGCCGATACTTTTGTCAGAAATATTCTGAATGACACGAAAGCCTACTATAAAACAATAGAGTTTTATAGATTATTTTGAAAATAATAAGTTTTTGCTAAATAACAATGACAATGAATAAACTGACCCCACATTATATATATACAGGGTGTGCCATTTAAAATAAGAATATTATTCAACTCCATATGTAAGTTGAATTCAATTAGACTAAATGAACACCCTGTATGATGTAATGGAAAAATTTGCATTTTATTCGATAGTCTAATTTCTTGGCTACGCATATTGCAGTTGACTGTGTTTTAAATAACCGCGATATACTAGATTATGTTGTTCAAGCTTACAAATTAAGAATCCTTTAAATGTTTCAAAAACGAAAAAGATAGGTATAGGAAACATTACAGAAACTTTACTTAATTTTTTCCGGGGAATCAAAAGACACCATCAAATATAGGGGTTCCCTTTAAAAAACATAACTTTGATATAAATTCCTATTTTTGGGTCACCCTGTATAATCCAAATTATTTTTAATTTGTAGTGTTAATGGTCCTGTATATCACTATTAAGAAAAAATTCAAATTTTAAGTCGTTTTTCCTACAGAGACCGACGCGTATAGGATGCGCCACCCTGTATAAATAAAATGTTTCCTCTTCATTAAAAACATTTATGAAAATTACTGGAATTAATTCTTAGATCCACAAGTATATCTGTACATTTAATAAAAGAATTATTTTTTATATAAATCCTATCATACTGCATTGCTCTCCTGAAATCATAATAATGCTTGATTATAGGTATAAGAAAATATCTAATTTGACAAACAAACCTTCGTTTTTCTTTGTTTAAGTTCTTTTTCCCTTTCAGAAGCATTTAGTGTACATGAATGGGAGCTTACAGATATTGTGGTTTTAGGTGATGAGTTTATCAAAATTTTAAACAATTTTTTGTCTTCTAAAGAGAGTTTTTTTTTGCTTTGGATATTGATCCTTTAGCCACACACAACATTTAAATATTTAATTAAATAATTAACCTAATTAAATGGTAATTTTATTTATTGAGATAAAGAGAGTTAAAGATAGAAGTTCCCTGTCTTGCATATTTTCGTCCCTACAAATGAAATGTACATAAAATGTATTCTGCAAATTTTTAATGATATACATTTAATTAAATTTCAAAAGTTCCAAAGGCTATTATTATCAGCACCTGTTTGGTTTTTAAAAATATAAGAGCTAATCATACCTTTTCATTAGCCTTCTCTCTTTCTTTTCCAACTTCGAAATTTCCAATGTTATTTTTAAGCCTGTAAAGTTAAGCAAATAAGTGTGTTTCGAAAGCCACATATATGAATATTGAATTACAATTATTTACAGTTTATATGGAAAAAACTTACTTATTTCTAAAGCAAAGTACAGGTACAGCTTTTGTTATAGATCCTTTTATTAATCTATTGCTACCTTTATAATAATGTTCAGTTGAAAATGGTCTGACCACAGACATGTGTTGTTAGAAATGCTATTAATGCTCAAATTAAATACTTGACAGTTTGGTTGAGAGATCAGCAGGAAATCTGAAATAAGTAAAAAAAAAAGATTTAAAATATTAATGACAGCTGAATAAATTATGTACAATACAAAAATATATCTAATCCATTTTACATTATACGAAAAGACATAAATTAAGCATTATCGCAAAAGAAAACTATTTTCTGTCTGACGCAATCAGTTATGGTTATGCTCAAATCAAGAATTATTGCAAACTATACAAGCTTTCGGCATGATTAGAACTTATTTTACAATAAAAATACACTTAAAAAGTTTATCGAAGAGACACTTCGTTCAAATTGTCTTTGGAAGACACAAAAAACGATCTTTTTAAAAACGAAAACAAGACGTCAAATGAAATGTCATTTATAACAAATACGCGCGTTATTTAAATTCACCAATCATAAATTATCGTGTTCCTAACTCGCCAATCATAATGCGTCGTGTACCTAACACCGAAGGGGTTACCTCCCTCAGTACATGACAAAACTCTTCAAATAACACCTCTAGTCTTATATGCTCTAAAGCCGGCTACTCACTACGCGTTACTTGCCGAGTTACTTGACTTTGATCCTTTGACTTCGGTCCGTTTACCGACAACCGACGGGAAGTACAAGTAACTTGCTTAGTCTATACAAGTCTCCATACACATTACATGGTACTTGGCAAGTAACGCGTAGTGAGTAGCCGGCTTTAGAGTGGAAACACCTGTAAAATGTCATTCACTGGGCCCTCAACGCCTCAACATACTTCTGACAGGATAATTTAAGGGCCAATCCAATAAAAGTCCATTATATTCTGTGGTATTATTTACCCAATCAGCTCGTAACCCCCTAATGGTTCCTAAAGTCCAGACTGAACCACCCACCCAACCTCTTTCATTCTATTTTAACTGAATTACTAATAATTTAAATTTCTTTTTATTAAAATTAAAAACCACGGTTTGAAATTATTTCCAATAATCAATACAATGTTAAATATAAATATATAACTTTAAAATTAGGATCGTCCGCGCTACTGGGTCAACAACATGGTGCAGTTCAGTGCTACACTTTTAATAAAATCATTTTTTAACGTATGACAACACTGTCGTGTTCTATAAAAGAAAATTTCATCACATCTTGCTATGAAATGTCAAATTAAGTACAAAAAATCTTTTCATCATTTGCTTGATACTTTTCAAGCATTTTAAACTTAGTTCCTTTTCCTCGTGGTCAAAAAGTTGAACATTCCTTGCAAATATAAGAAACACGTATTCATTTATAATATCGCTCATATAGTCAACTTGTAAAATGAATAATAATATAATAATTCGAAACTGTTTCGATGAGAATTTAACTCCAATAAAAATAGAATATTTTAATCCATTAGATGGTAGAAGGGTGGTTTCACAACCATATCGGCCCCCTACAGTAGAGCCCCCCTCAACAAAGATTAATTACAATGTATCTTATATTCCTCAAATCGCTATAAGAGGAGAAGAAACCATTAAAAAAGAACCAACGGAAGAGGTATGTCACTGTGATTTATTTTTTATAAAATGTAGTTATAATAACTAAATTTTTGATTAAATAAAAAAATTTAAAAAAATGGGCTCAACCGGGATTTGAACCCGGGACCTCTCGCACCCAAAGCGAGAATCATACCCCTAGACCATTGAGCCGCAATACTAACTGATTTCATTATACACTTAATGAACACAAGTCAAAAATAATTTTAAAAACTTACAGGTCGTTTTGGTCAATGGATGCTGGGACACAACAAATAAAATTCCAAATATAGTAGCTGAGATGCATGTTAATACCAACGAACTCGGCGGCATTTATAACATTTCCATGAAAAATGGTGATCTAACGGATTCTCCGCGTGACGTCACCATTCCAAGTCCACGCGGTTCAGATAGCGGCATCGAATCCGATTGCACTGAAGGAAATCTTTCGTGGCTTTTGAATTATAAAATACAGGAATTGCCTCCGGTTCCAGGTAAATAAATATATAACATTTAGCCGATTTCAAATTCATACTTATTTATTTATAAATTGTTGAATTCACCTGTTTTTGTTGTTACAATATCCATTACCTAGGACTCAAACTTTTTGTTTACAAATTAAAATTAAATATCTATTTATAGAGCATAGGAATTATCTTTTTACCTACACTTCTATATTGGTGTATTTTTTTGTCAGATGTTTCTGCTGTTGAAAACGTAAATCGCAATGTCCAAAGAGTATTCCATCAAGAAAATTCAAATGATGCTTCGTTTCGACCGCGCATAGTTCAGGTAAGAATTTTCAAAATTAATATTTTAGTCCAGTGAACGTAGATTAAAAATTTGTAAACATTTTATAAGAAACTATAAAATTTTTTTCTTATATTTTTCTATATAGAAATTCGTTATTTTTATAAAGAGCTAAAAAAGTTATTGGCAATAAAATGAGAATATTTCAATATTTTCTTATTTATTTATATTGTTTTTACAATTTTTTTCACACTACCTATCGAATGGATCATTTTAAACTTGTTAGGTAATTTTCCTTTTTTTTTTAATTTCTTTTTTTGCATCTAGAAAAAATATCTATTGTGTCCCCTTCTGTTTCTAATGCAGCAAGCAAGGGCGGCTCCAGAAGCTGCCCAAGGTGCCATGGCCCCCAGAGATTAAAATGTTTACTAACTTGATGAGTCTTTTATTTAGTATGACCATATGTACAGCGTTTCGTTGCGGGCCTAAGGGGTGTGGGGGGCATAAGGGGAGGGCAAGACATGAGTCAGCATTTTAAAAGTATGCAAATAGTATTTGCAAAATGCTGCAAAAATAATAAATAGGTCTTGGGGAACTAAGAAAAAGGTCTTATAGGACCCAGACACCACACATAGTCCAATGGACATAGTCCATATTCGGACATCCAGTGTACGTCCGTTTATAATCATTAATTTGACAGCTGCATATCGATGCCCAGAGGACGTCTGTTTTTGGACTTAATTTTAAGTTTGGTATTATTTTGACGTCAAGTGGACGTCCATCTTACGTCATTATTTATTTAGCCTACCAGATAATACCCATCTATATATATTTTTATATTTTTAATAGAATTGGTCATTAGAAAATGACAAATAAAATTTATTACATTTAATTCTATCAGCGGAAGTTTAAAATCTTATTCTATTATAACCGTATCTAGTAAGAATTTTTCAAGTGGCCCCTTGGTCGAGGTCGCCTGGCTCTTGAATGCCCAGATCGACAGTGGACATGTCGTGAGTTCAATCCCTGCTCTGGTTAAGCGATTTTTAATAAAAAAAATTACATTTGATGATAGAGAATGTGGCAAAAAGGACACGATATAGAATGATCAGGAACAGAGTAATCAGACGAAAGTCTACTTGCTTCAGGACTAAAGATACCTGAGACATACCCCGTGATGAAATCCCAAAGAAGTACAGTTTTGTGAAAAACTTCAAAATCACAGAGCTTCCAAGAAAGAATGGAGCCAAGAATCCATAGCGCTTACAACCGAAAGACATGCTATTCAGTGGTATACGAACGGTTCCAAAACCATAGAAAGAACTGGAATAGAAGTGTATGGGCCGAGAACCAAGCACTCCGAAAGCTTGGGAAAAACCCAAGCATTTTCCCCCCGGAAATTCACGCCATCGAGTGTACCCAGTTTAACATCGAGAGAAACTATCATAGACAAGACATTGTCATCATGTCCGATAGTCAAGCAGCCATCAAAGCGCTGAGCTCTTACGTAATCAGCTCAAAAATGGTCTAGAGATGCATAGAACAATTGAATGAGCTGGGCGAGAAAAATAGAGTCACTTGGGTCTCGGGACATAACGGGGTACAGAGTAACGAGATTGCAGATAGTCTTGCAAGGAAAGTGGCTCAAACACCCTTTGTAGGACCTGAGCCGTTCTGCGGTATCAGCAGTAACATAATATTAGGAGAGAGTAAAAAAGAATTGGGCAGTAGAAGAACCAATAATTGGAACAATCTCTTGGGGTTGAGACAGGCTAAGATACTTCTGGGTGAAGCAAAGATCGGAAGCCTGCATCTGCCTGAGCAAAAAAAGGCTACGTATTGTAACAAGGATCTTTACCGAGCATGCCGACTAAAAGGACACCTTAGTAAACTGAGAGTAATAGAGGATAGAGAGTGCAGATTCTCTAAGGAGGAGGAGAAAACCTCCATTCACAGTGTAACTGAATGTGTAGCACTCCAAAATCCACGGGCACTATATCTAGGAGGATATCAAATAGAAGAGGGAGATATACCTAACTTGAAGCCACTCCAAATTCTACACTTCCTTGAGAAAATAGGATTGGAAGGGACGTTATAGATCTTTTAGGTCGCAGTGTATTTCCATTTCCCCATTTCCAACATAACATAGGTAGATCGCCCTTTTCTAGTTGGTATGCTTCCATACTCAGCTTGTGACTTGAGATCGTCCTCCTCATCACAGAATCTTTACTCACTATATTTTACTAAACTTAGTTTACTAAGGTATCCTTTGTCAGTAATGCCCGGTAAGGATCCCTGTTACAAAGCGTAGCCTGTTCTTGCTTAGGCAGATACAAGCTTTCGATATTTTCTGATTACAGTCACCCAGAAGTATCTTACCCTGTCTTAGCCCCAAGAGATCGTTCCAATTATCGTCCTTCTGCCCAATTCTTTTTTAATCTCTTCCAATATTGTGTTACTGCTGATACCTCAAAACGGCTCAGGTCCCACAAAAGGTGTTTGGAGTAACTGTATTTTCCTTGTCTGGCTCATTCAATTTTTTTAGATCAATTTTGAACTGATTACGTAAGAACTCAGCACTTTGATGGCTGCTGGATATTAAACTGGATACACTTTTCAATGGCGTGCTTGTTTACTTACCCAAACTTTCAGGTACCTGGTTTTAGGCCCATACACTCTGTAGTATTGGAACCATATACCACTGAATTGCATGGCTTTCGGTTGCAAACACGATTGATTCTTGACTCCATTCTTTGTTGCAGCCCAGCTCTGTGATTTTAAAATTTTTCACAAAACTGTACTTCTTTCTCACTTTGTATTGGAGCTTATTCCAAGTATCTTCGGCCCTGAAGCTAATAAACTTCCATCAAATTACTCCGTTCCTGGTCATTCTATAGAACACGTTCTCATTCCACACCAGTAAAGCAAACACAGACTAATCTTTATACTTTTGAGATATTAGCTCTCGTAGTAGATAAACTAGTTTTGTTACTCCAAGCTACAGCTTCGTAAGTGATTGTAGGTTTATTGCTGTATACATCCATCATAGAATGTTGGGGTTACATCCCCATCTTTTTCCTGCAATGTTTCTGCATTACATTAGAGCTTTTGTGGTTTAATTTACTTCTTCTCATATATGTTCCAGAGAAGTTTGTTATCCAGGGTTAAGTCTAACTTGCAGTAATACTGCAGCTTATTGAATTGCTACCAAATATTTTTGCCTCTAATTATTATTGACCTGTTAATCTGCCGATAAAACTTTCATATCCGTTGTATAGTCAGTTTCAAGCTTTAAACTTGGTACTTGAACATTCATGAATTCATTTTATTATTTTCCTGGGCTCGTCTGATTTAGTTTCTGAGTTTGTACAAGACTGGGTGTGTTCTAAAAACATTGGATCCAACCTGTGGTTTCTTAGTTAAACAGTATGTGTAGGTCTCCATTATACACGCCTATTTTTTCAGTTGTTTCTTTAATGAATTATGCCTAGTCATGAGTCCTGTTTTTAACTGGTTCCTATTCCTTTGAACGCAGTCGCAGTAGTTGTTGTGTTTTACTCCGAACCTAGTCATTTATGAAACCTCGAACTGTACTTTATGGTTCTCCAAACTTTATATCTGGTTTCGGTATTTCTTCTGATCCTCTCTTTAAAAGTTCTTGGCAACCAAAGTAGTTTTACTCTATTTTGTTATGCCAGTGTCCTCATCAGTTCTTCAATACAATCCCCTACCAGCCACGACGTCACTTTCTGACTCGATATGGCCTTAAAGGCCACCTGGCTGTCTGATATTATTGTGATCTGCTTATTTCTGATAGCTCTCCTATTGTTTGTTATTGTACTTTACAAGATTGCATAAACCTCATCTTAAAATACTAAAGCGTGTCTTTCTATTGCATAGCTAAGGTTAGTGTTAGGGTTTTTGTAGAATACTCCAGTCCCAGTACCTTTCACAATCTTTGATCTGTCCGTATACCAGATTTATACCTATCGTTTGTCACTGGGTTTCCTTATAGTGATTCCGTTCTGTTTGCTGTTAAAACATCGAAGGAGTACCGTTTGATTATGTAATCCATTCTCATGTCTAGCATGCTACCAGTCACTAACCTTGTGATACTTATTTGACCTGATTTGATGTTAAGATTTCCAAGGTGTTCCTAATCAATAATTATAAAGTGGTGGCAAGCCTATTAGTGCTTGAATTATTGCTGTTGAGGTTGCTCTCATTGCCTCCGTTATTTTAAAACAGTTATTGCCGCTCTTTGTCATGTCGTTGGTTACCACTCCATAGCTGCGTATGTTATTATCGATCTTACTATCATATTGTATGTCCAATATACCATACCTGGTTTCAGTTCCCATTTTTTTTTTAAAGTAACTTGCCATCACTAGTGAGAAATCAGTTTTAGTTCTAAACTATTTTTGAAGTAGATCTGAATAGCGTCAAATCGTAGCGATTTAAATGGGGAGAAGTTAGAGATTTTCCATCTAATTATGTCTTCGTCTACTCGATCACGTTTGTGATGTCCAAGTCAGAAGTTTGATTCTATCTTTGAAGTTAGCAATTTTCATGTCACCTTTTATTTGATTAGCGCAGCTATACTGTGGTGTGGATCTCTTGAGAGAGCTCTTTGAAGCCTTGCTGCCTACGAGCGTAACTTTATATAGTATAGTCACAGTTTATAGCTAAAGAATCAGTTCGCTCACTCTGCGTCGGCACTTTTGATCTCAATGTTCCAGTTTATACACTGCGCAACTCGGATTTGTATCCCTGGCGCATACAGAATCAGATCATAACCAATACTATATATGACAACCGCCTACTATATTCAAACAGCAGTCTTCTGCGCATCCTATCTCTGGAGTGGATGTTATTTTGGAACATTCAACTGGTCCAAGTGAGCTAACTGATTCTTTAGCAATAAACTGTGGTATAGTGTTGATTTTATTATTAGTATTACGTAAAAACCAAAGTTGCTCGTTTTACGGGAAGACATTTTTTAAATTAGAGTAGCTACTAGAAGTAGAAGGTGTGTAGTTAAAATAAAATACATTGCAATCAAACACGTATCAACGGGGTTATTGTGTCATCTTTATGAGGCAACCATTTTGTTTAGAATGCCTCATATCAATTTCCAAACTTTACTGAACTACACCTTTCAAACAGTGTTAAATTTCGGTGTAGATGCATTCTACACTGCTCTAAAATTCAAAAGAAAAAGCTCATGTCTTATTGAAAAATCTCACAATCGTTCGACTCTACTTTTTCTCTGAAATGACGTTGACATTTCTATTTTTAAAGATTTACACGTGGAGGTAAATATTTAAAAATGCTTTGTGAATACGGATGTTAAGCTGAAGGAAATGGCACATGGCATTTGTTCATACATTATTAACCCATTATTATTAATATTAACCCATTATTAACCCATTTAAACCCATTATTAACCCATTATTGACCTATTATTAACCCATTATTAATCCATTATCAATCTACTATTAACCCATTATTAACCCATTATTAGCTTATTATTAAACCGTTAATTATCCGTGATTACCAGATTATTAACCTATTATCAACTTATTATTAACCAACCAATTATTGGCCCATTATTAAACAAGTATTAACTTATTACTAACCCTCTATTAATGCATTATTAACCCATTAGGCCATTATTAATACAATATTAACCCATTATTAACCAACTAATTTATTAACCCATTATTAAGCTTCCATTATTCCATTATTAAGCCTCCATTAATCCAGTATTAGCCCATTATTAACTCTTAGGTTGCAGTGTATTAACACCCCATTCCCAACATAACATAACCCATTACTAACACATTATTAACCCATTATTAACACATTATTCTTCTTATTAGCCCATTATTAATCCATTATTAATCCATTGTTACCACATTGTTAACCCATTATTGACCCGTTATTAACAGATTATTAACACATTATTAAACAATTATTAACCCATTAGTAACCTTCTGTTAATCCATTATTAACACATTATTAGTTCATTATTAATCCAATATTAATCAATTGTCAATTTATTGTTAAACCATTATTAATCCATTATTAATCCATTATTAATCCATTATTAATCCATTATTAATCCATTATTAATCCATTATTAATCCATTATTAATCCATTATTAATCCATTATTAATCCATTATTAATCCATTATTAATCCATTATTAATCCATTATTAATCCATTATTAATCCATTATTAATCCATTATTAATCCATTATTAATCCATTATTAATCCATTATTAATCCATTATTAATCCATTATTAATCCATTATTAATCCATTATTAATCCATTATTAATCCATTATTAATCCATTATTAATCCATTATTAATCCATTATTAATCCATTATTAATCCATTATTAATCCATTATTAATCCATTATTAATCCATTATTAATCCATTATTAATCCATTATTAATCCATTATTAATCCATTATTAATCCATTATTAATCCATTATTAATCCATTATTAATCCATTATTAATCCATTATTAATCCATTATTAATCCATTAGTAATCCATTAGTAATCCATTATTAATCCATTATTAATCCATTATTAATCCATTATTAATCCATTATTAATCCATTATTAATCCATTATTAATCCATTATTAATCCATTATTAATCCATTATTAATCCATTATTAATCCATTATTAATCCATTATTAATCCATTATTAATCCATTATTAATCCATTATTAATCCATTATTAATCCATTATTAATCCATTATTAATCCATTATTAATCCATTATTAATCCATTATTAATCCATTATTAATCCATTATTAATCCATTATTAATCCATTATTAATCCATTATTAATCCATTATTAATCCATTATTAATCCATTATTAATCCATTATTAATCCATTATTAATCCATTATTAATCCATTATTAATCCATTATTAATCCATTATTAATCCATTATCAATCAATTATTAATCAATTATTAATCCATCATTAATCCATTATTAAGCCAGTATTAAGCCAATATTAAGCCATTATTTATCCATTATTATTCAGTTATTGACCCATTATTAACCCATTATTATTGACCCATTATTGACCCGTTATAAACCTTTGAACGAAAGAGGACCAAAATATCAAGAATTTTCTTTATGTTGAAACAATTTTCTAATTAGAAATTTTTCTAGGTGCCAACTATAATAAAAGCGTGTGAAATTAAGAATCAAGGACATTCGTACAGATATTCAGATCTTAAAAAGCCGCCCTTCACTTACACCGAATTAATAGAATACGCTTTGAGTGAAAGAGGAGAACTGACTGTTTCCGGTATCTACCAATGGATATCGTAAGTATTTGTAGAATTTTTTTACTATATTGCTTTCTCCCATATTTAGGCTATTTCTATTAATGTTTTACCCTGCAATGAAATTATAGTGCCCATAAACGATATAAGTAGTGGCGTAGGGGGCCAGGGGAGGCGTTAAGAGTACCTTTGACGCCCTCCACAGAAGTTTGGGCACACCAAAAAAGCCTTTTACTTGGTACAAAATGCGAGAAAAATTCAAGACACATGGCAACGTATAACAAACTGATCGACAGCTAGTAGATGGACTAGTTGTGTTGTCAATGTGAAGCAAATTATGCATATTTTTTTGTTTTAAAGTGGGCATCATGTTTATAATGCAAGAAATTCCTCTTTCGATATATGGCAACTATGTTAGACATTCCCGAAATGTTCCCATTATTATTTTGAAAATTTGAAACCGTAGTAAACAATTTTTCTGTTGCTTTTGAATAAGCAAAACTATTTTTAAATAAACAGTATGTTGTTCTGAGGTAATTCAAATTTTATTAATACGGCAGTCACAACATGACAAAGAAAGCTCTAACCAAACATGAAAAAAATATACAGTATGGTTCGCAAATTATGAATACCTAGTGAAAAAAAAATGGTTAAAAATTATTTCAAATCTCTTTGTTGGCTGGCCTCTATCTAACTGTATATTTAGTCGAATTATTATGAAATATGAAATGTTTACTTTGTAAATGCATCCATAGTCAATATATCAAACCCGATACGCGTTCGTGCATCAATGAGCACGTTTATAGTGACATATATAAATTAAATGGGGTAAGAATTTAGGGAGAACAAGGCAGCTTGTTTCTTAGTGAAAGCGTATCCTCTGGTACCAGGCACCAAGATCACCAACCTTTCGACTTCCGATAACACAAAGGAAGTGCACGGGAAACTTTGGATACGTAGTTTTGCGGGATCTGGAAACTGCCAAAAGGAAAAGGAAAAAGAATCGTTTGATACGTTTATTAGTACGTTCTAATAAAGTCTTGAATATGTGCGTGTTTTTCGATTATTTGGAATTTATTGTTTGAGAGAATGAACACTTTTTGTCAAAATATAACACAAAACGAAAAAAAAAAAAAGCGTAAACGTTCAGCTGATTCTTGATTTAATCAATATAATATTCTCTTTGAGGCAATTTAATTTCAACAAGTAATATTATACAGTGCTTTCTTGACCAATGGTAATTTCTTGACTTTTTATACAAATAAATATCGGTCACAGTTTTTATTTAAAGATCATTACATATGTTTTCCATTATTATTTCCATCTTCTGGTGAATTCAATAATTATAATTTTTAAAAAACATTGAGCTACAAATAGCAAACAATTTTAAATTTTAAATCCGGCGATACTTCATCTTTTTGTTTCACCTCTAGTGTATTTGATATATAGTTAGGTTATCAAAGGTTCAAAATGGTATCAGATATTTTTTCCTTTAATTTATCTAAATCCATGTCACTATTCAGAAATGTAAAACAGACACATTTCAATGGATGGAAGAAATGGAACATGTCATTTAAATATAATATTAACCAGATAGGACCTAACATGGACCCCTGTGGGACCATACGTTTTATATTGGATAGATCTGAGATAATATTATTGACAAAAACTGCTTGTTTCTGTTCGTTAAATATGATTTAAATATTTTGTCAAGGAGTTTGTGAGAAACAACCTTTGACAGCTTACATAAAATTAATGAGAAAAGTGCCCATCCTCTAGCGCACATACTATGTCACTTACATTCTTCTGTATTGCTTGTGCAGTGCTGCATTTTTTCTAAATCCATATTGATTGCAATTGCTCTCTAATTATTCAGTCAACCGATTACTTATTTAAGATACTTTCAAACATTTTATCCAAAATGAGTATAATTTAAATATATGTAGTACTGTCGTGTAACCACTTGAAGCCGACCCTGGTCCTCTCGGCGTTGCAAGCTGCTTCGTCTATGTTTCAATACCGCTGGAGAGAGACATACGCACTCCTTCGAGAAGTTATAGTCCTTCCAATATCAATTGCAGAACACAGTTATGTGGGGAATCATCAATATTTAATATATACGCACGGTACTCATGCCAAATTTAGAAACGAAAAATAATGTTTACTCCCCTTATACAATGCGGTAAATATTAAAGGAACGGTCAGTCAACGTGTACTTGATATATATGTGTCAAAATCCATCATCTCCGTTGTTAACCTATGAAAACATCGAATCGTAAACTTAAATGCACTGTATTGGCCGAAGGTTTACGAAGGGGAGGAATGTTCGAAAATATTCCTGGAAGACAGTCTGCGATATCAGTGGAGTACTGTCGTGCGGTGTGTTTTGTATGTGTGGTTGGTTTAATTTAAATTTCTTTTAATAAATATAAATGTGACGTTCTTTAGACCGTGGGCAAGTGAAGAAAATGAAATTGCACAATGTAGTGAGATTAAAGACAGGTATGACTTTAACAATAAGGATTTAGTTATACAAACACAACAAGTTATTTTAAATATATTCGAATGTTTAAAAAAGGAAAATATTCAGCAGTCTGATAATGCGATCATAATAAGAATTGCTGAATTAACTAAAGTAAATAAATTTTTTCATTTATCGGGTAGTCACAAAAGGGGTTGCTGTGGATCATTCACAAAACCGAAAAACATGTAAAGAAAAACTGAAATCAGTTGACAGAGCTACCCAAGATTTTATACGAAGGACAATTTATAGTTTATATAAGGAGAACAGGGTTCCAACATTGGAAGTAATACAGCAAAAGGTAGCAGATTTTCCAGGATACACTACCAGTTTGGAAACATTGCGTCAAGTTTTGTCAGCATGTGGTTTTAAATACAAAAAAATGAATAAACGGATGGCAATCACCGAATCGTCAAGGATAGTTCAATAGCGACAAGATTATTTGCGTCAGATAAAAGAGTACAGAAGTTCTAATAGACACATAATTTATCTAGATGAAACATGGTTTGACAGTCGCGATGTAGTAAATTTCGGTTGGGTTGACAGTAGTAAAAATTGCTGTTTGAATGGGCCATGTTCTAAAGGGAAACGTATTATAATAGTACACGCTGGAAGCAAAGACGGTTTCGTGCCTAATGCTTTATTATTATCTGTTAAACAAACTAAAAACTGTGCAGCTGATTATCATGAAGATATGACAGAAGAATTATTTGAAAAATGGTTTAATGAACAGTTCTTACCTAACATTCCACCAGTCAGTAATCGTTATGGACAACGCATCCTACCACTCACGGCAACTCCTTAAAATACTAAATAGTAGCAGTAACAAAGCTCAAATTTTAGCGTTTATGTCTGAAAAAAATATTCCTATTCCTGCCAGTGATCGTAAAAAAGGCCCAACAAACAAAGAATTGCTTACTGTTATTAAAGGCATGAAGTTGGAAAAAATTTATTATATTGACAAGCTGTGCAAAGAACAGGGTCATACTTTTCTCAGACTACCTCCTTACTATTGCATATTTAATCCTATAGAGTTAATATGGGCAAACGTAAAATCAGAATTACGAAAATGTAATCAGTCTCCAGAACTGAGTAAAGAGGTTGTAGAACTCGTAAAGAAAGTTCTAGCAGCAGACCGCCAAGAGCTTTGGAAAAAAACTGCGTCGAACATGTTATTAAAGAAGAAGATGAGTATGTAGTATTACCCTCTTTACAACCCATCATAATTCAACCAAATGATGACTCTAGTTCAAAGGATTCAGACTGCCATGATTATTTATAAAGATACTTTAGAATTGAATTGTTTTTTTTCTTCGGTTTTATTTGCAAAGAATTTATTTTCCTTTATAGTTTTTGCTTTGAAATTTCGTTTTCCAGAAAAAAAAACGAATGGGGTACAAAAACGGCTCAGTTCACGTCTGATACCCTGTTTAAACCAAACGCCCTTACAGGCAGGTACACTTTACTCGCTTTTTTACGTTTTATAATTTAATATTCAGTTGTAGCAAGTTAATGAGCTATAATTATTTTTTTTTAAGTCCAAGTAAGACTACAATTAAGTGCATCTGTCTAAATCAAGGCATATAATAACGTCCAATTTATAATGATTCGATTTCCTTTTAACGAATACTATTTTGCATATGATATATATTAAAAGTATTTATAAAATAAATTTATAAAATGAGGTAGGTATCTACGCCTATGGCAGATCAAACAAAATTGTCGGTAAAGGCACAGCTTATACAATACAGCTAAAACACTCTCTTGGCGGCAACGGTTTGCGTCGATTTCGTCGCGCATCGCTTAAGCTCCGCCTTCGGAGGGAAAAGATGGTTTTGGCGTTCAGAAGTGTACTTAGGTAAGAGTCGTGCGTATAATTTCGTTGATTGTATAATTTCGTGGAGCCTATAATTTCGTTGATTTTGTTTGAGTTAAAGGTACTGTTATTATTTTGGTGACTCTTTAGCTGTGAGTAGAATGAGTGAAAAAAAAAAAGACATCATTCTGTTTGTGCAGTCAAAAGCTGTTTTAATAAGGGTTATACCTGCAAGAAAACATTCTTTAGTTTTCCCAAGGACCCAAACCGATAAGTAACACATTATAAGAAATTTTCATTGTTAAAAATATAATTTATACAGGGTGTCCCATTAGTGCGTTATTGTTCATTATTTTGTTGTAGACACGCAAAAAAGTTTTAAATAAAAGTTATATGGATTTGAAAAATACCTACATATTTTAAAAATATCTTTGGATATACAGGGTGTCACTTTTTTGCCTGGCAAATTAAAATGTATGTTTTTTAAATGGAACACCTTGTATTTTATTTTATGATGAAATTATTAACACCCTAAATTATTGTAAAGACGAGTTGCTACAGAAAAAATTTAACAGGTATGTGTGTGGTTACCTTTTAATAAAAGCCTTGCGGATCCACTCCTGTGATACCTGTCTTAAATATAACAAAGATCACGTTGAATTAGATGATTTTTCTTTTTATTGCTTTTTAAAGGCATATGATAAC